CCTAAACCTGATCGATCAGGCCGTAGCTTAGAGTTCAGGGCTGAGGCTACAACCCTGAACATATTTCTCTGTCAGCTTATAAAGGCTAAAATTGTAAAAATCACAGTGAGCTCATAGGCAGGTGCAGGGAGTGCTGCCCAGTGGTTGGCTCTCATTCAAGCCATTCTAGACATAACAGTTCATATTGACCTTTAATTTGATAGGTCCTACCCTAAGCTTTGTAGAATTTCTTAAGATAAACACATCTCAGAACATGAAACATAACAGGGTATGTGGTCAGCATGAACCTGCTCTGAGTCAATTATTTTTCTGTGTCAATGACTGACAAGCATATTAGAGCAACAGGATGAAATAGTTGGCAGGCATGGAACAAAATGGCTGCAGCTATGCTGGGGCTAGGGCAGGCCTCAACAATGGTAATGACCAATATGTTCAAATGTCTAAATGCAGTACACTCATTTCATGATTATGTTAGAAAAAGAAGTATAAAAACTGTTAGTCATTTCTTTGCCCTAAACCACCTAAAATGGGCTTTTTTTTCATGGTGTTGGCTTCTATTTCCAGTTTGTTTCAGTGATGTCTGCCATGCTATGATAGTGATTTTTAACTTGAGTGAGTTGGGAGGGGGGAAGGATCACACTGAAGCTCCCCCTGACTCAGACCTCCCCTTCCCTCTCTCTGCAGTTGAGACCCACGTTCTAGGAAGTGCCCTGGGCTTCTAAATTATAGCAAAAAGTAAGAATATTTTCTTCTGACACTGGTGGATTTGTGTGGAGTCTATATTTGTTTTATTTCTTGCAGACTTCTTCCACTTGTTCTGTACATTTTGTAAGTTGTTTAATAAGGACGGTCTGGTGGTTTGAATAGGTATGGCCCCCATAGATTCAGGTGTTTCAATGGCCATAGGGAACAGCATTATTAGAAGGTATAGCCTTATTGGAGGAGATGTGGCCTTGTTGAAGGAAGTGTGTCACTGTGTAGGTGAGGTTTGAGGTCTCTCAGGGTCTACCCAATGCGGAAGAGAGTCTCCCTCTGGCTGCCTTCGGATCCAGATGTAGAACTCTTAGCTTCTTCTCCAGCACTATGTCTGCCTGTATGCTGCCATGCTTTCTGCCATGATGATAATGGACTAAACCTCTGAAACTGAAAGCTAGCCCCAATTAAATGTTTGCCTTGGTCATGGTGTCCCTTCACAGCAATGAAACCCTAACTAAGAGACTCTTTGTCTGAGATAAAACCATTTTGATATTACCCCTCACCAAAATTTTAAGTTTCCTGCTTTTTCTGTGAGTATATATTTTTTTTCATGTGTGTATGTATGGCAAGTGTGTAAGAGTGTTCTTGTGTGTGTGAACTCACCTGTGTGTGCAGGTCCAAGTGCACAAGTGCATGTTTGTATGAAGGGCCAGAGGTTGGAGTTGGATGTCTTTCTTAGTCGCTCTTCATCATAGATGCTGATGCTGAGATTGGAGCTCATTACTTAAGCTAGTTCAGCAAACCAGCTTGCCCCTGGATTCCCTTGTCTTCATCTGCACACTGAGATTACAGGTGAGCCAACTTGTTGCCTGACAACTATGTGAGTGCTGGGAATCTGAATTCCGTTCCTCATGCTTCCATGGGCAGATGCTACACAGATAGGGCAGATCTCCCCAGCCCCATGAATGATTATATATGTGTGTGGTGTATATGTGTGTGTGTGTATATATATATGTATATATATATATATATGTGCTTTTAAATTTTTATACATTTATACAATGTATTTTGATATTATCCATCCATCACTACCTCCCTCCAACTCTTCCTAGTGCCTTCATGTTTATTTTTGTCGCTGTTGTCACTAACCTGAGTCCAAATAACGCTGCCTGCATGCACATGGGTGTGGGGTCACCAACAGCCAAGTTTCCCAAAGGAGAGTTAGGAACATCAACTGTCCATAGCTCCCCCACTAAGAGTGGGGCCTCAGGGGCCTCTTCCCTGTCTCTGCTGTTATTTTGTCAAGCTTGTTCTTGTACAGGTAACCATGGCTCCTGTGAGATGGCATGTGCAACAGCCATGTGATGTCTAGAAGTCAACATTTCACTGCTACCGTCCTCACCTGATGCTCTTTCTGCCCTTCTTCTGTGATGTTCCCTGAGCTGCATCTGATGGAGGTGTTGATACAGGTGATTGATGCACCTTAATACCAGTCTTCAGCAGCATGGTCTCACCATCTACTTATGGTTGGCAAACAATGGCATGGTTTGCTGTGTGTGGGTTTTTTTTGGGGGGGGGGCTGGGGGGCATCTTCTGTCATCTCCCTGACCAGTATCTTATAGAGATTATCTTGTGCTAGCATTGAGATTTGCATTTAAAAATCAGTATCTTCTGACAACAACACTGTCTATCCATGAATGCATGCTTTGATACACTGTAGGCATAAATTTTTCTTAACCTCCTCTCTATCCACCAGAGGTAACGGAAAAGAAAAGTTAACAGGATATGGGGGAAGCGGACCTGTTTAGAAATAGTTCTTTGAGGGCAATTCCAATCTTCATTGTTCTCAGTCCAGTTCACCATCAAAACACCAAATAAGAATCTACAGATCGTTCAACTTGGCAGACACCACACAAGAATCAGCAACTGCAGTTCAATCCAGAAGAAACCATGAGGCTTGACAGCCAACTGTAGCAGTGGACAGTTAATCTGCTCTGAGCTCCCAGCAGGTGATTGCACTTCTGGGAGTTCTCTGGATTCACAAATGAAAACACACACACACACACACACACACACACAAGCATGCACACAAGCATACACGCATGTGCATAACCTTTATATTTTAATATCCCTTAACTAGCTCAATGACTGGGCACGTCCAAACCTCCGGAGGCTAACACACACTCCTCTCCAGTATTCCTGAGTTAACGCTTTCTAAATCTATATTTTATCTTTGCTGCTGCCCTGTTTCCTTACGGGCAGCCCTCCCACTGGGCCACTTTCCCTTTGTACCTACATTTTGGCTGTCTTATCGTGATCCTTCATGGCGTGGTCTGTCCTGTTTCCTCCTCATGGTGGAATTCCCTCTTCTCCACTCTGTGTTTCTTGCCCAGGAATCCTAAAAGTCCTGCCTTTTTCACCCTGTCTAGACACTGGCTGGTGACTCCTCCTTATTGAGCAATCAAAAACCAATTGGGGACAGGGCCCCTCAGCGTTTAGACACATAGATTCTTGTATGATTTGGGGAGCTGAATTAAGGCAAAGCATTACAACTAGTCCCCAACACCTGCCGAAGTCTGCAGAAGCAGCAAGAAGCCACAGGAACCTCACGAGAAGTTCTTTGGTGAGTTTCTTTGTATGAAGTCACCACAATGAGTGAATCAATACATGCATGTTGTCAGCAAGGAATAATGAGGCAGAGTCATGTGAATCAGTGCTCAAACTCCTGTCTGTGGGGATATGTGTGTGTGTATGCATACATATATATATATATATATATATATATATATATATATATATATATATA